AAACAGTGTTCAATGCTAGGCAACCTTTAAAGGAAAAAATAAAACTTTACAAAAATAAAGTATTAGCGTATTTGTCATAAAGAAATAAATGCATAAAAATAATAGAGTATATGATTATATAGATTAATTCATGCAATGGTTAAGTAGGAGCCTTAAACTAGAAACGATGGCCTATGTTGCAAAATGGATTGACGAGAATGAATTGTATCTAGAGGGATCTAACGCTCGAGACTTATTGACATGGAAGCGAATTGATTTGAAATTTTGTGAAAGGTTGACTCATGTCGAACATCAGCTTCAGCTCTAGCACACGTTTTGTCATTTCATGACTCTGGCATACTATATTGCCCCAGTCTTTAGGAAGTCTTTGATGATTACTCGATGGCATGATTTCATGTTTAGCATACTCAACTTGCGTGTCAAAAATCTGCCCCAGTTTCTTTTATGAAATGAAAATTTTGCTATAATGAGACCGAGCCTTATATAGACTGCCTACGTATCCCACCACGGGAATCAGGTCAAACGTAGTTCCAAAATACATAAAGGATAATTTTACTAAAAGTATGACCGAACCCGGTGTGGATTGCCTACGTATCCCACCAAGGGAATCAGGTCCGACGTAGTTCAGTTACATACAAATAATGATCGAAAATTTTAAAATAAAAGTGCCAAACTCGATATCTGACAAGAATCAAGATGGTCATAGTTCGTTACAAAAGATGGATACAAAAGATGATCAATTAAGCGTACAAAATAACATAACTTCTAATGATATTGCTACTTCAAAAACTAAATCTTAGTTAACGATTCCCAACTATTCTTCTTCTGAGAGGCTCTTCCACATGCTCAATTCTTCTGTATTGCTTGGTTGTAGGGAAGAGCTGAATTAGCGAATTGCGGATAAGCTACTTGGGTGAAATTCTGTGTAGGGATGACATTTGGAAGTTGGTACCACATAGATTGATGGGAAAGTACCGGTCTTTGAATGACCATACCATTATCCAACAGCTTCTGGATTTCCTCTTTCAGATAATGACACACATCTGTTGTATGGCCTAGCATGCCTGAGTGAAATACGCAGCACTTGGTTGGATTGAAATGAGGTGGAGGGATTTTAGCAGGTTTTGGTTGCATGATACCAAATGATCTCAACCTCTCAAAAATGATAGAAGGTGGTTCACTCAAAAGGGTAAAGTTTCGGGATTTTCTTATCTTGGGTGCTGATGGTGGAGGATTTAATGCTTCATCAATCACTCCTTTCCCTTTATCCTCGAGGTGTGTCTCAGCCGTCTTGCCAAGCTTCAAAGTTGATCCTACCACCTTTCCTTGAGGTTCATTTGCTTTCAAACTCTGAGGAGACTCTATGAATTTTCTCTTCAACGAGCTGCATCTGCTAAAAGTATTAGTGGAGGACCCATATTGATTGACAAAGTCCTTTACTAGGTCATTCCAACTGAACCATTTCCAGGTGTCTTGCTTTGCATACCATGTTAATGTTGGCCCTATAAGTGTCCTCACAAAGAGCCTCAACTTAAATTCATTTCCTTGCCCTATGCATGCTAGCTAATCATGATATGCCTTCAAATGGCTTTGAGGAAAACCTATCCCGTTGTACATTGGAACATCAATGAGATTAGCAATATCCCCATTTTCATTTTTTTGCCACAACTAAATCTGATTCAGGTTGTAAGACATGACCGTTTCCTAAAGGAACATGGTTACTCTCTACATTGAAATATTTTCCACCACTTTCTCTATCCTTACTTGTCTCGGCCAAGCTATTGAATGCCTTTTCTAACAAGAAAGAGTGCATATTTGGAAAAGACTGGGCATTACATTCATAAGTGGGAGGTGGAGCTGTGCGAATTGGAGAGTAGCCCTTTTCGTTGGACGAGTTCTTAAGATTGGCTATCACTTCCTTGATGCCATCAATTTCTTGCTCCATTTGTCACTTTTGCTTCAAGCTTAGCAATCTTATCTTGGTATGATTATGCTTTCTCGCTAGCAGCTCCGTCTTCAACTAAGTCAATCACTACGATTTGGTCAAACATATCGTCCCTGAAGTTTGCTTTGATGTTCAACTTAAGTCAACCTCTTTTGGAAAAGGATATATCTAGTCACTGTGGAGTAGATATATATTGAAGGCTAATGATTGAAAATATGTGAATACGTGCCTAAGATACCGACGGGATCGGGTCTTATAAAATATGGCTATGTTTAAAAGAGGCCGAAGATGGGTGATTTTGATCTTGAAAATAATCATTGGTATTTGGATATAGACAAGCTCGAGATTTGGATAATTAATAAAGATGGTAGTCACTTGGACATGAAATAATTTTAAAAATATTTTATTAGCATTGGCAACTCATAAAGTTATCGAGACCTAGGAATACGGTATCAACCGTTTTGAGACTTATGGGATGGTCCCTCGACTCGCATGCCAAGACTTGGAATTGGCGGGGGCAGGAAGATTAATCTCGAGAACCCGAAAAAAGACGATATGAACATTTGAATTGAATATGTGAAAATTTTAGAATAATTTAACGATGCAAATCGATCAAATAGTAGCCTTCTATTGCTTGGTAGATAGTGCGAATTTGGACATCTACCAACTTGTAAATGAGAATTGGCACGAAGGTGAAATTTCTAAGACATAGTACTAAATATATTTTATGAAACCTATTTATATTCTATATTATTGAAGATAGAGGTTTAGGCCTGTGTAAGAATTGAAGGTATAAAATTATGTGAGGCACGAGTGACAATATTTGAAAAATATGTAACTATATTTTTAAGAAAAGAGCGCGAATAACCTTAACTCGCGAAATTAGAGGGGAGAAATATATTACCTAATTATGAAAGATTATGCCGATTTTAATGAAATCTTACTATATACCTTGTTGGTTAAAGAAAATCCTTGAGGCTAGTTGAAGGCACGAATATTGAGGGATTTCATGAAGAACCGAGCCTATTGAAGAGTTTATGGGAAAGACGTCGTACTTTATAAAAATAGAAGATACCGACAGACTAAAGATATCTTAATCAGACTCTAAGAATTGGAGTAGACCTAAAAGAAATTTGAGCCTAAGTAAATACCTAAATGGTGCTCTAGAATCGTTAAAGAGCGCTAAGCGCGGAACGATTGGTGATTATTATTATTATTATTAATTCGAATAAATGATATAAAAATAAATAGCAAAAAAATATAAACAAATAAAGTATATATTAGCAAGTTGGATAGTCTATTATTTTTCCGTCTGAAAAGCAACAAATGATGTTAGTAAAAATAATAAAGTCAAGTAAGCAGCATAACAAGTAAGCAAATAAGCAAGCAAGCATGTTACAAATTTCAAAATATAACAAATAATTGCGCGTCCTAATATGTAGGGGGACCTCTTTGTGCTAGAGGTAGGCCTAACGTGTATTTGAAAGATAAATATGCCATTATGTATCATCCCATTGAAGTAAATTAATTAAATAAGTCTATTTTCAAAAGAAAATAAAGTATATTAGTTATGATTGATTAAACCTCTTTTTTTTCTTTCTTTTTTTTGTAATAAAAGATCAAAAGAAAGTATATATTTTCATCATGTCTAAACTTGTCGCTGATTATGTCATTTGAAAATTTTGCTACATATCATAGAAAAAATGGCCATGCTCCTTTACCTAAGATTTAATTAATTTAGAGAAATGGTCCACATAATTGGCATGTTCACCATTCAAATAATACACATACACGTGATAAAGTTGTCACTTGGGGTTGAAAACCCACTTGGACATTTAGGTAAGGTCAACTAATGGATTTAATACATCTCGGGTATTAAGTCATCTAAGGTTAAAATGATGCATGCTCTTAAAGGGTTTTGGTTTAGCTCTATCTTAGGTTGACTAAGAGTGGGTTTTTCTAGACGGTCTTCTCCCAAGCGGACAACTTGAGAGTGGAAAGCCCGTGATAGTTGACTGCACCGCTGATCGACTTACCCATGAACTTTCCCCTAAAAGGTATTTTTTGAAAAGTGCACAGCCGCAAATCACGTAACCGCTAGGTGTGTGCTTTGTGTGAATTTTCCAGAAGTGGAGGAAGTGAAACGGAATGACAATTTATATAAAGCAATAAAAACAGATAAACAATACATTTTATCATATAAAGGCAATTCAAATAAGCATCATAAAAAGTACACAAATTAATTTTTATTATTAACCTAAGTTTGTTAATGGTTTAGAACCCAGAATCCCCAGCGGAGTCGCCAAGCTGTTATACCCCATTTTAACATGGGTCAAATTAGAGTTTAACATATCGATAATTCCGAGGTTAATTAATTTAAGAGAGTCGCCACCTGATTATTTTAACGGTGAATTAGGACACCAATTTTAGCTAAGTAGTGCTTAAAGTTAACTCTATTTTACGATCTGCTTAACCTTATGATTATGGGTAATGATTCTAATCATCTCAAAAGGAAGGGGTAAGGCACTTTTTAAGATCCATTAAAAATGATTAACTGACCAAACTTAGGTTAATTAATCTAAATTAATTATTTTATAAGAATATTTAGAAGTATTGGTAGCTAATGATTAAAGGAGACTTTCTTTAGTTTGTGAAATCGAAGTAAACTTCTTCTATTAAGCTTTCACAAAAAATTGGACCAAAAATAGTAAAAGTCAATTGCAGCAAACGTGGTGAACTTCTAGCATTTTCGCATTGAAATATAGACTGTTCGAAACAAGAGGATTTTAAAACTTCTTACAAAATATTAAAGTTCACAAAGTTAAAAGAACACCGGGTTATGCCTATGTTTCAATTTGAAATGAACGAATAAAAAAAATAATTACTGCAAAGACAAACCTATACTTGGTATATTTACTATTTTTAGAGAAACCAATAGTCACTAATTTAAAAAAGTATTTGTAGCCACTAATTAAAAAATATATTTGTCAAGCTAGGCGTTGGTTTAAAAATCAGTCCCGATTATTAGCTTTAAAATCTTTCACCCAAGAAAGAATTTATAGGTAGTCAATCACGAGCTTCTGCTAACCATTTTCAACGTGGAGATGAATTTACTACGCAAACGCAACCAAATTTATAAAGTTAGACAACATAGACGATAAAAGACAAACAACGAAAAAGAAAGAAGAAAGACGCCATCGGCATCCCCAAGCACTTCGCTTGTTTTCTCGCTATTCAATGCACTCTAAGGATGTGGATATGTGTGTCGACTCCATGCTCGGGTACGGTGTTGAGTCTCGAGTGAGACTCCATTTTGCTCCAAGTGCATATGCAAAAGAGAGAATAGAACAAGAATTAGAAGAACTTAGTTTCCGAGCAAACATAGGATAAAGACATTACGAATCATACTATAAACTTATAAGCTTACAACGTAGCAGATACATTCATCATGTTAGAATGTTATACTATCAGATTCATAACACTGATTCAAGAACATCCCCTAACGAAGTATTCAAGCAGATGTTTTCTATTATTCTCATTTAGAACTTATGATGGAGCAATTACAAGTTAAGCAGGGTACCCTAAGGCATGCTTTACTAAGTAAGCAAATAAATCTTATATGATGAGAAAATGAGTGAATAAATCTTAGATGCAGTATGTATGTCATTATCATAATGCAAATAAGCATCTCTACTTCATTGTGACAAAGAAGGCATCAAGGATAGTATAGCTTGCTTAGTTTGGTCCAGATATTAATACATAAAAATATATCTTAGGGATGAATTATATACCATAGTTCTGACAAAGAGCTTAACTTTCTAAGTGAGCTTGGGTAGTAGAACTATCTATAAGGCCTCTATAAGCATGTTAAATAACGAGTGTAACTCACTCATCTACGGGACATTCTTAGCTAAATACTGCCAAAGGATATCCGAAGCTAATTATTTCATTAAAACCCATGATCGTGATATTGGGCATTTAAAAATAAGAAGAAAAGCCTAAGCATGGTGCTTATCATAAAGCAATATACTTCCATTAACAGAGAGAGGCCAAAAAGAGCATAAGTTAAGGTCTCAGGTTTATGGGGAGACCATCAAGTTTTCTGCTATTGTTTTAACCGAAGGAGTTTACATAGATTTAAAGCTATTCAGTACTTAAGAAATGCAGCCATCAACAAAACCGTATAAGCATGCTATTTATGAATAATGTAAATCCACAAATTACTCGCAACATATTCAATTAACTTTTGCAACAACCTTATATTTGTCATGATTATCTGGACATGAAAGAACCTAAGCTCCTGTTGCTGGTAGGTATACAGGATACACCAACACTCTTACAGAATGCATTCTCTTTTTTTTTCTTTTTTCTTTTTTTAACGTTTGACAGATAAATAGTAATCTGTCCACAAATATTACGCTCCCAAATTCTTGAGTTAAAAGATTACTCATTTTTACTCATAAACGCAATTGAAGTTCATAAGAAAGAAGGAGCTTTTTCACATAATACGTTTATCCTTAACAACAAGTTAGAAATGAAACATCAACTGAGCATGGCATTTACAAAAGAACAACGTTGATCATGTACTAACAACATAAAACACACAAAATAGTTGTGTAGGCAATTTACCAAGCATTTAGTGATGGGTTTTTGGACAAACATGACTGGAATACAATTTCCCTATAGACATGACTTTTATGTGTACAAAATGAGTCCTAAATCATGATCTCTACATAGGAAGTGAAGTACTAATTTTCAAACAAAAATAATTATTTGCCTTTAACATAAACAAATAATAATAACAGAAAGAGGAACTTAATGTTAGAGGTCACTGACCTTTTGCAGGGCAGTAAACTGGGGCGTTTGCCAACGACTACTCGAATCTCCGATTCAAACCTCCTTCACCACCTAAGCGACACAATCAGACCAACAAAAATCTTTGTCACAGCTGAAGGCCAACAAAGATCTGAGAGGGGAGAAGATGAGTAATGAAACACGATTTAAAGCTTATATTTATGGAGGATCTGTATGAAGTAGAAGATACTTCGAAAGTTTGGAGGGGAGTAGCGGCGACTACGAGCTGGTCCGAAATTAAGGCCAAATGCAGGTATTTATAACAGCAGATTATATCTAGGGCTTCTTGAGCGGGAATTTTTTAGATTTGATTTTGAAAAGTAGCCGTTTGAGATTGAATTTCTGCCTTGGTGATTCTCCCACGGAGATTTCAAGAGTAATTTTGGTCTTTTATGTTGACCAAATCGAAGGAGATCAGAGAATGGCATTGATCTTGAAAAGATAAAGCAAGAGAGACAGAGATTTTACCTGAATATGGTATGACAATACTCTGCCATGGCTGAAGAATAGTTGAATCGTTAGCCAAAAATGGTCATGGAGATAGGCAAAGACTCTGCCATGGAAAGAGGGGAGAAAGCGAGAGCGTACTGTTAGTTGTGGTAAAACGAGGGGGTTGGGGTACCACAGGCGATGGATTTGAGGAAAAAAATTCGGTAACAATTAAATGGGATTTTGGAATCCAAAAGAGGGATATTTCTGGTGGAAGAATCTAGAAGAGAATAATACGATTTGGGCTAATACTTTTTGGGCTGATTTAAGAAATTATTTGGGCTGTCTTGTGGATTACTGTTTGGGCCGGTAGAATTAGTAGAAAAAATATTGGGCTAATAACTAGGCCGAGTTTCCCCTTCTTCTTTTCAATTTCTTTGGGCTTCTAATAATCAACAATAATATTAATGTTAAAAATAAGNTCTCCGAATCATCCTCGTTCATGTCGAATCTTAAATCGAAATTTGACCTCAGAACCCTAACTTTACAAATTGGAGATAAAATGGTTTCCGGGCTATAATAGCCCTTAATTAGGTGTTTTCTCATGGGAAACACCTAATTAAGGATAGTTATAGTCTGATTTTGTCAACAAAGGCCGTCAGATTTGAAGTTTGAGGTATTTCATTTTATTCCCATGTTCTTCGATTCATGATTTTATTCTCTTAGGTTCCTGTTGTAATTTCAGTATGCTTGCCATTGTTTTTCTTTAGGGTAGTTTAATTTCGTTAATCTCCAAAATTAATTTGAACCTTTGTTGATCCATTCATCCCTGTTTCAGTTAATTTAGTCGCGATTTAGGTTTGCGCATATTAGGTTAGTTTAACTCGTAGTAGGTCAGTCTTAATGCGTAAATAGGCCATTGATTAGTATTTGTGGATTGTTAGTTTCCTGATTTTTAGTTCAGTTCTGAGTTAATCTTGTTTCATTGATTCTAATCAGTTAATTCAAGTGTTAGTTTCTGATTCTATGATGATTCATTGTTAGTGCTTAAGTGTAATTAGTCTTTGTTAGTTGATAATTGGATAGTAGTGGGATTTAGGATCAATTTTCAGTCTCAATTAGCATTAATTGGATTCAGTCTTAGAATTTTGAAGTTAGTTTGGATATAGCTGAATAACTTAGCCTTCAATTAACCTTGGTTGATTTTTAACTAAAGCAAAAGGGGTTTGGGTTGGTCAGTAATTTCAGGGAGTAGTCAGGGGTAATTTGGGCATGGGAAAGGGCTGGTTTTGTTAAGACATAGTAATTTTAGAACTCAAGCAAGGGTAGTTTAGGTTTTTCATAGCTAATAGAATACCCTAGGGCCTTCTAGAAAGGGGCCTTAGTGTAAGCTTTCTGCATTTTAATGCAGTAGCTTGGGTAACAAGTCACAATATTAGGGTCTAATAGCCAATTTCTGAAAATAAAAAGGGGGAAAAATGAGTAAAATTTTCTAGAACATTCTGCCCCCTTCCTTGCCTATAAAAAGCAGGCCTAGTGCCTTGATTTACAGGTTTACACACTCTGAAAATCCCCAAAACTTTCCAGTTTATAATTCCCAAAAATCCACTTCCGAAGAGCTGAGTCTCAAATTTTGAATTTCAAAAATCCAAATAGTTCAAATCTGAAGTTTATAGTTCTAGAAACCTTCTTTAGATCTTAATTTCGGCAAAAATCCAAAAACAAATAAAAATACAATAGAAACTCCAAAAATATACTGTTTATTTGAGTGTATTCAAGTCATTTATGGTTGATTTCCTGGTTTCAACTGATTTCAAACCTTTCCTGGACTGTTGAATTCATTTCTGGGCTGTTATCTGATTGTTGCTCGATACTGCTGCTGATTTATTCTTCTTCTTCTTGTATTTCAAACGTCCAGGTACATACTCGAACCATGGCTTGATGTGGCTTTGAAATGAAATGCTGAAATAAAAATGTTCATTCACCCTTGAGATGTGTTTGTTCAACTGTAATAGACTATTTGTATTCAATTTAGTTCACTTTTGACTTGTATCTCTGTAGTTCCTGGATCGTATAATTTAGATGGACTTTGGACTGTATTGGATGATATAATTTGAACTATATGGATCCCTTTTAGTTCGTCTGTGGTGATACTACTCATTTAGGATAATTGATAATCTGAGGCCTTATAAATTTTATGTTTAGCTTGTTTTCCATAAGTCTGATCAACAAGTTGTCTGTTAAATCAGGAGTATCGAATACCACCTGAGGTTGAAAGTTTATGTCTTACAAAATCAGTTTCGCATTTAATGTTCATATCCAGCTGATAGTTAGGTTGCAGGTCTTATGTTAACTTACTTTCAGCATTCATATTATAGTTTTTTTTATGTCAATTGAAGTCCATGAGATGCTAAAATGATGTTAACTCTCACATCTAGAAAGATAGACATTAACAGGTGAACCTATTGAATTATAGTCACGTTCAAAATCAGCAACTCGTTTGCATAATTACCCATGTGTTAACAGATCTCGAGCACGATTGGTATTGACTTTGGGCTCACTATGAGCCCACTCCTGTTTCGTTTTCATAAACTGTGGCCAAATCATGGGCTCGCCCCTCTGAGGCCCAACGTGGGCAGTGTATTTACTTGGATTTCACAAGCTGATAGCTTACCAGCTTGGGCCAAAATTTCAAGGCCCAAAAAAATGCTGGAAGCCAAAAATCCTTTTTTTGAAAAATTACATTAGGAATACGGGAATTAATTTGCAAATATAAATTTGGGTTCTCGAGTTAAGTAGCGGGTTCAAATTAAGAGGGTCCTCCCTTTTGTTTGAATTCGGGCTTGAACTCGAGGCCCGAATTTATAAATGTGAATTAATTAGGCCTTTTTAGAGACAAACAGTAAATAGAAAATCCTAGTTTGCTTTAAGATTGGCCTTTAAATAAAAAGTGGGACGAGCCTCGCCAAATAAAAATGCATAAATTGCGGGGCCCTCATTAAATGCTTTATTAAAAATATTTTAGAAATTCGGGACATGCCATTTAGCGAATTTTCATGGCTTCCCGCAAAGTTAATAAGACACTAGCCACTTTAGGCGCGCTTTTAATAATTTTACCTTCTTAAATACGGGTGTGCATTTCATGCGACCTAAATCCAAATCCCAAAACGTTGAATAAGAGGTGTCGAGGATCCGGGTGCATTTCATGTGACGTGATCCAAAAACACGCTCTTAAACGGCGTTCACTTTCATAAAAAAAAACTAATTAAAAGCAGTTAAACAAATTTATAAAATTGCACTATAGGTTTGAACATGTATAAAAACCAGTTTTTTAGCCATTTATAATAATTTAAGCGACCGTTCTAGAACCACGGGATCCGGGGGTGCCTAACACCTTCCCTCGGGTCAACAGAATTCCTTATTCAGAATTTCTGGTTTGCAGACTCCAATTGGGAAGTCGAATTTTTCCTCAATTTGGGATTTAAATTAAATCGGTGACTTGGGACACCAAAAGCCAATCCTTTCCCAAGTGGCGACTCTAAAAATAAATAAATAGTCCCATTTCCACTAATGTCACTTTAAATGGAAAAACTCCCTTATACATTACCCTTCGGGGTCGGTGTGTAAAAAAGGAGGTGTGACAGCTCTGGCGACTCTGCTGGGGAAACGAACCCAGAATTTAGATTCAGGGTTCAAGAATTCGAGCTTAGTGCAATTGTTATATTTGACTTTATCTGATTTTTCTACATGTTCCATGCTATATGTGCTAAATGTTTTACCGCTTTGATATTTGTTGAAATTGTATATATAAACTACCGCGAATCCCTTCCTCTCTTTGAGTCTTCTACATCATGGAGAAGGGTGCACTTCGTGTAGCTTCTCTTCTGTTTAGAGTCTTTCTCAATTTAGAACGAGGTTTGGATAAGTTGCTAAGCCAGCGGAGCTTCTGTATCCCCGGTACGCTGCCTCCCTCTCGGCTCGAGTTGTCCGCTCGGGTAAGCCAGGTCTAGATCAATAAACCTAAGGTTTAAACCTAGAAGAACAAAACCTCATGCCGGATCCCTAGTAGGACGCTTGTTTGCATCATGTGCATTTGACTTAGGGGACTCAACACAGGGGTTGGGTCCGTCTAGGATAGGTGACCTGAAATAAATTGACCATCCTGATGCATCTTACGTGCTAATTGCGCATTTATTTGCTCGGTTTCGCATGTTGACCGGCTTGTCTAAATGAGTGAATTATGAAAAATAAGCAGTGTTAGGACTAAGTAAGGGTGACCATTTGTTTTGAAAAAACCCCAATGCCCAAATAGTACCGAAATGCTGCCGGATTTTTGAAAAATAAAAAAAGGAAAATAGTTGGAAAAAAGAAAGTTGTTGTTCAAAATAGTTTTGGTTTAGGCAATCTGCCCGAACTACGCGGGTCTGATTCTCACCGGATGTGAGATACGTAGGCAAACCTCATCGGTTCGGACCCCAATTTTTAAAAATCCAAAAATATTTTCTTTCTTCAGAAATCTTTCCTTAGATAATTTTTTAAAAAAAACAAAAAAAAAAGAAGTTTATAAAACTAAAAAACGATTTCCTTCTTTCTAATGTCTTTCATAAAAATCAAAATCCAAAAATACAGGTTTCCTTCATTTTGAAGTATTTTTCCAAAACTCCAAAAAAAGAAATCAGAAACAAAAATCCAAAAAAAACTCTTTTCTTCTTCTTTATTTTTTTGTAAATGTCAATAAAAATTTTAAAAATTGAAGTCCAAAAATATTTTTGCTTTTCTCTAGAAGTACTTTTGTAAATAAATAAAAGCTCAGAAATTCAAAACACTTTTCTTAAAGAAGTCCCTCTTTCGAAAATTAAGAGGTTATATCCAAAATTCAAAAATATTTTCTTTTTTCCTTAGAAAAAGAGAAAACAATTGAAAAACTCAAACAAAAAATATTTTCTTTTTACTTTTAAAATTCCCAAAGTTCAAATAAAAAAAAAACGAAATTTTCAGAAGTCTTTCTTTCAAAAATTAAATCAAAATCAAAAATTCAAAACAAAATTCCTTTTCTTCTTTCAAAGCATTTTTTTAGAAAATTCCAAAAAAAAAAAATTAAAAAAATCAAAAATGTTTTTCTTTTGCCTTAAAGATCCATGGTACGAGTTTTATTAAAAAACAAAAAGAGAAAAGAGTTCACATACTCAATTCCCAATCTGCCCGAACTACGCTGGTTTGATTCTCACCGG